ATATATTTGGCATATTTCACTGTTACTTATACATTTCTGAGTTTGACTGAAAGTGCAATTTTATTCTGAAAAGTGAGACATATTTTTAATTATTTAAAATATTTACAAGTTAAATTATGTTTGTTGCTCCCCAGCCTCTTTTATACAAATTAAGAAAGAACCTGAATGCGTAGAGTGCACTTTCTCTTTTGTATTTTTCATTCTAGAAATATTCTGAAAACCAGGACTCATTCCCTGCTCCCTCATTCCTACCCCTGTATCATATTCTGTCACCTTTGCTGTTTTGAAAGGGTGCATGAGGCAGGATACAAATTAGGTCACTGAAACGATGCAGATTAAAAATAGCATGTGCTGGCAGTGAATTGTACTGTAAAGCTGTGAACAGGAAACACACTGGTTTTGCCTCCAGAGAAAGCGTATTGTCTGCCCACACCTTCAGGAGGCATAGCTTTTGCTCCCTTTATGAAATATTAACTTGTCCCTGTGTGTCAGAAGGCAATGGTGCACAGTTTAAATACTCCTTCGCTTTCAGACTCCTGTCATCTTAGCATTTTATTAGTTCTCTGGTCACTACACTAAGAAATTACCAGTAAGTGACAGGTATCAACTGACACGCATCAGAAGTTGACATGTACTGTTGAACGTATTAGCTAGATGTCAAGGAAGAGACCATTTCTGTTCATCACTACACAGAATTCTGTGACTAGTGTCAAAACATGCCAGATGGCAACACCTTGATGTCCAGTCACTTGCCGAGTTTTGAGTTCTACAAATGCAAGTATTTAGAAATCAGCATTCGAGTTGCTTTACTTGGGTATGTTACCACTTTTGTCCCATGAAAGGCTGAGAATGCCAGCAGGACACATGCTTGCTTCAATCCTGAATGTTGTTCTGATCGATTGAGACTTGTGAGCAAGAAATAATATTGGGAAATGCATCTTCCCAAAGACAATTCTAAAAAATCTAAGCAAATAATTGCCTAATTTGGTAATGTCTATTCCTTCAGGTGGGATTCCGTAAGGGCAGAGCCTGGTCCTGAGTTTGGCATGTTGCTGTGAGGCTGTCAGCGGCCGCTGAACCAAGGGAGACCCCCGTTCCCTCCCATACAGTTCTGCTGGCTCTGAAAGGCTAAGATGAGCGAGGATTAGAAGACAGTAACATTACAAAGTGACACTAAGCAGAGAGGGCTCTGAATGCACTTGTACGTTAAGTCAGGGTGAGAATTTTAAACTTGCATTTCTCTTCTTATTCACAAAGGGATAAAACTTCAGCTGCATAAAATCCTGCAGTATACAAAGTGTGACATGCGATTTACCAATAAAATCATTGTCATAATTATGTCTCCTGGATATTGGCTATGCTGCTGACATGGCTCTATCTTTCAAAAAACTAAGGTAATGCTTGGCTACTGCTCAGTTATTAAGAAGTAGCACAGTCCTCCTTTCCTCCTGGAAGAAGCCAAGGCAGTGCAAGGTAGTGCACTCCTGGAATTTTCCTTTGTGCTTGTGTAGGTGAATGGCAGTGTGAACTGACAACACCAAAGGGCACATCTGAGAGGCAAGACTACGTGCTGTAGGGCCGGGACAGAACAGTAGAAAGTAAGAGACGTCAGCACTATCGCAGGAAGGACTGAAAGAACAGCAAATCACCAGCCAATGCTTGGGAAAACACGAAACAAAACCTCTAACTCCTGCAACTAATAATATTCCAAATATTATTTCTGAATCTAAATAGTTGAAGGGATATCTACGGACAATAAAAACTACAAGACAAAAGAAAACTTCTCAAGCTTTTCTCCCAATCTGCAGAAAATTTGAAAGTGATTACAGAGTGACCCTTTTTCCTTGCCAATATGAGCAGCTGGTACCTATGTAATTAAAACAAATATATCATCTCGCTGAAGCTCTCCAGAGTTGCTTTGTTTTCTTTTTCTACCTATTTAGTGAGTCTTCCCTGCTATTTTTTAAGAATTGAGGTTTCATATTACCAATTTTGTGGACGTTCAACTATCGGGAGGGTGTGCAGATGTCTCACTGCTG